AATCACCTCTAACAGTTGGATGCCATGCTTAAACTTCTGGGATAAAATGCCTTGGAGTTATAGAAAAAACTGACACTTGCATTCTTTTACTCATTTTTAACACAAGGCTTGCCTAACATCTTGTGGCTATACAATATATGAGTATCTCACAGCTAACCAACTCTTTGAATATTTTTTCTTTGGAAAAATGATTACTGACTGTTGCTTTTTGCCACCATAATTTTAGACTGCTACTGTTCCCTACGAATTTGTGACTTGATTCCCATGATGCCAGGAAAGCTCAGAACTGGGAAGGAGTAAAGTTTGTCCACTCAGAACCTGAATGCTAATTACAGTGGGAGTGTAAATCTTTCTGAAATCTGAACTCAACTCATTGCTAACTCAGCCTGGGTACCAACAGTGCCAATTACCTCCACCCTCTTCTCGTTGCTATGGCAGTGACAGTGAGAATGTAATACTGGAATATACAATTCCCAAGGATTTTAGTGTCCATTTGACTATACTTTAAGAATTCTATGGGTTTATAAGAGCTGCAGAAGCAGCCATTATTACGTTCACTAGGTCGGCAATAACCCTGTTGGAGTTTTAATCACCCACCTAGTAGCATCCTTATTTTCATGGTTCTGTAGATCCTGTGTAAATTTCGCTTGACAGAAGCATTCTGTTGTAGCCAAAAGATTTGGATGTGATGTGTTTGTAGAGTACATGTGTGGTGCCCAACACAGTTTCTCCAGCTTGCTGATGTGCCCATGGATCCCAATAGGTTGGCAACTCCTGCTTTAGAATGCTTTTGTTTTCCTAAGAAAGACGCCATGCAAATCCATTTTTCATTTAAAAAATTCTTAAGGCTGTTACAATAGCCAGATAAATTACTTTGCACTGCATTCACAAACTTTACACTCTAGTTACATCTGAAACTCATTTTTAATTTGCATGTCAGCTAGAAATCACTTTGATGGTTTGAAGACTAACACACTGACAATAAGAAGCTGTGAAGCATGGCAGATAAAACATTTATTGCTTTACAAATGTTTGTTTTATTCACCTTGAAGAGAGGGTGCATATGAACTATGAAAGAGTACTTTTACTTTAGTAGTTGTAGTGGTATTAATAGTAATAGTAATAGTAATAGTAATAGTAATGGTGGGAAAGTACTTTTACTTGCTGAATAATACTAATAATATTGAAGTAAATCTGTGGATGTCTATCTGCCATCAAAATGGATACCATTGGTGGAATAGGGAATCATCTGGAGCAAATTTGTGGGTGGCAGCGGGGTGTGTGGTGTGTGTTGAGACTGCAGGAAGGAAAAGAGGGAAGGGAAGTATGTGTGATGTTGCCCATAATATATTATTTTGTAAGTGTAATCTGTCCAGGACCTATATTGGTCACTGCTATTTGTTCAGGTTTTTTTGGGGGGGCGGGTGTACAAAACTGAGGGCATATCCACACAGGTATTTCTTGTTGGATCAGTGCTGTTCATACAATTATTATTTTTTAATTTTTTTGCTGTTCACGCATGCAAGTTATTTGCAGTGTTCAAATGACACTGTTGGCATCAAAGTGCCAGCTCATTTTTTTTTGCAATTTAATTCAGATTTGCCATATATATATTGGCAACACACTGTTGCCAATGCCACTTTTGCAGTATTAATCTCCCACCCAGAAGCACACCTTAGTTTCATGGTTCTTTGGATCCAGACCATAACTACTGTGCACAGTCTATTTGTTCTGCAATTAAAGGATTACAGCTTTACAGCTATTCTCATTTGAGTGTAAAGAGCATGCAGCTTAATTGTGTAAATAAAAAAAGGGAAGTCAAATAAATAAATAAGTGCTGTGGGGATTTTGTTACAGGACAGTAAGCAGCAAATAAGGTGGGAGTTTCAGTAGATAAGGGGTTTTCTTTTCAAGGTGGTCTATATTTCTCCCTAAATCCTCTGTTCGAAACACAATCATGTTGACAGCAAAGCTAGGATTAAGGCATTGGAGAAAATAAAAGTTTGGCAATCATTTGCTGTCTTCTAGGCTTGACCTTACTCACACTGCTGATAGCACAGTTGAACTGCTGACTCCTCTTGCTGAGGCTCCCAGCTGAGGTGGCTTAAACAGTTGACAGGGCAAATGATTGAGGCCAAAATGTCAGGAAAATGAGCCAGGGTAGGACTTGCATAGTTTGTGAGGAGTTCTGCAGTGTTTCCCTGAATGAGGCAAAGAATGGAACACAGGCTGTCAACATAGTCACTTGATTGACCTTTCTAGGCCTGCAGCGTCCTGAAGGCTTCAGTCGTGCTATATTTGTGTGACTGTGTTTTCCTCAACTTGTTTTTTCTCTCTGAAATGTTTCCCTCTCCTGTATAATTGATATAAGAACCCACAATTTTTCCTTACTCGGTATGCTGTACGGTTCAACGGTGAGGCCTTCAGGTTCAAAGTCTGATAATGTACATTTATGTCTCTTTAGCATCTCGCTTCTGGAAAGCTATTAAAGCAGCCATCCAACTATTAAACAGGGAAAACGGGATTATACAAACAACCTTTTACAACATTTTGTCATGGATATTTAGCTGCCAAATGAAAATTAAGTGTTAAAACATCTTTTCCCTGGCCACATACTGCCTTGTTCTTTTACAATAATACCAATTCCTCTATATCTACTATTATTTATTTGTTACTTTTATATACTTTCCTGTCAAGGTAGTCTTTTGAGAAGTTTGCACAGCAGCATAAAAATGCAAATCTCATCACCTGTGGTTTGTGCAAAGGATGTCATATAAATTATTTAAAATAAGTTGATAAATAAATGAATCTAGTGGGCCTCTGGGTATTATATAATCTCTCAGGAATGCTGGTTATCTCTCCAGTGATTTTTTTTGGGGGGGCACAGGGGTACGCATATCCCTAAACATTTTGTGAATCTTTGTACTTTTGTCCATTTACTGTATTTATTTTTCCCGATTTGAACTATAAAATGTTGGTTTTCTTGAATCAAAATTAGAGTACCCCTAGACATATTTTTAGAAGAAGAAAAAGCACTGTATCTCTCCCTTTCTGAATATCTCCTCAGAGGCAGGGAGCTGGAATATCTGTGAAAGACATCTTAGGTAAAGGTAAAGGGACCCCTGACCATTAGGTCCAGCCGCGGATGACTCTGGGGTTGCAGCACTCACTCGCTTTATTGGCCGAGGGAGCCGGTGTACAGCTTCCAGGTCATGTAGCCAGCATGACTAAGCCACTTCTGACAAATGTAATCATGCTATTGGAAGGTTTATAAGAATGTTGTTAAAGCTTCCTCCTCCTCTACAAACTGTTTTTGGTTGCGAAGGACAATTTAAGCTAACACTGCAATCAAATAGGATTGAGGGCACTCTGTACAGTGGTACCTCGGGTTACAAACACCTCAGATTACAAACACTTCAGGTTACAGACTCCACTAACCTGGAAATCGTACCTCGGGTTAAGAACTTTACCTCAGGTTGAGAAGAGAAATCACGTGCCGGTGGCGCGGTGGTAGCGGGAGGCCCCATTAGCTAAAGTGGTACCTCTTTTATCCAGACAAGGTATCCCACAATAATGATAGTAGTCCATCATGCATAGGTTTTCATATTGGCCACATCTGAACCCCAGACTATTTTTATATACTTGTTCAACTATCCCTAACTGTTCCATGCTATGAAGTTCCTTTTCTTCTTGAGGTTTCATTGTTAGTGGGAATTTGTGTGGTACATAAATAAGTGACCTTGCATTTTCAGATACCTGTATCCTACAGTAGCTGTGCAGACATTCTGTGCCTTCAGATAGATGTGGAAATCTTTTCTTAACCTCTGCTACTGTGAGAGGTCCATTTATTGATTCAACTGTCATTGGGATTGTTATTAGTTTTAAGGATTGCAAAGCCTTTAATCCCAATACTGGTTTTGCAGGGGCATTTATCACAAAGAAGTCCAAATGTTGGCATCCGTCTTTATATGCACATTTAGCAGAGACTCTTCGTACTATGCTGAGTGGGTAGTCCTCCATAGCTGGCCAAGCGCTTTGCTCCAGGTAATATCAGTGGGCTAGATGTTTCTTGTACTGTACAGTGAGAATACAATTCACTTGTGCTCCTTGCCCAGAAAAGTAGCCAGAAATGCTGAGTCATCCCTGATTCTGCAGTACCGTGCTTCCTCTGTCTCTTTGTGCATTTACATGGCATCATCATTCCAAGTGGTACGTTTTGTGGCAATTTATGCATACTTGTCTTCTGGCAGGACATACATTTCCCTTTGCAGGTTGCCATGCACATCTTTTGCAGGCCTGTGAGGTGAGAGATGGCAGACATCCGGTGAGAGATTGTGGCAGGCTAGGACTTCCGGGGGAGGCGCCTCCAGCAATGGCAGAATTCCTCTGACCGGGAGGAATCTGCTCCATGGAAATCTGGGTCTGGCCGCCACGGCGAAGGCAGAGACCCGTTAAAATCACAGGCAGGAGAAGCCTGTGAACGTGGGATTCGGCGGGCACCTTTTGCGCCTCCCCCACTCGTGGGGAACCCTGGTTTTTGGGGCTCCGGAGTGACGTGGGGTGAGTGGCGCGGTGCATCGAATCGTCTGCTTCTTCCACGGAGCGAAGCCACATAGCTGTTGCCGGAGAGCGCTGACCTTTTCCTGTGGACAATTTGACTTTAAAGTAATTACCCGTGAGTAGAGCTGAAACGGAAGAATTGGATCTCTAAAAGTTTAATTTGGTATCGTAACGTGGAGGTTCAAAACAGGAAGTCCGCCTTCCCTTTTTGTAAATAGACTGAGGCAACAAAGTTGCAAGCTGGAGTCCTGGAAGGTCTTTTGTAAAAGATCAAATTTCCAACAGTAAAGAACATTAAACCCCCTCTTGGAGGCAGGAGAAGAGAGGGGGAAGTTGCGGATTGAGTATGCCTGCAGGAGAGAGTGAAGAGGCTTAAAACACCGCCGCTCTGACCCTGGAAACGGGCTGCTAGTAAGACTGATTTCCCCCCCTTTTTTTTTGGAATGTTCATTGACAGCCCTTAGAACGTTCATTGACAGCTAGCTAAATAAGAGAAATACATTGTTTCTACTGTTTCCGGCTGTTTTTAAAAAAGGAGGAAAGTAACTGAAAATTGAAACTAACTTCGGATTATTGAAACTGTGTTTAAAAGAGGACATATTGACCGATCCAAATACAACCTGTTTTCCCCTAGTGGAAGCTTTTGAAATTGGTTACTTTATAGGAGCTGGGCTAGGGGAATTTCCAGCTGCAAGATAAGAAAAGTGTGAGACTTTGGAATTGACCTTGAATCTCTTAAGTGTTATGGCAAACGGAAGGGAAAAACAGACGGGATGTCGACAGAGGAGGCCTTAGTGGCTGCATTATTGAAAATAAACGATTCGCTGGAACAACTCCATAAGAAAACAGATGCGATGAATGTGAAATTGGATGTTGCAAATATTGAGACTGATTTAATTGTACAAAGTTTAAATAATTTGGGACAAAAGGTGAATACCAATTCAGAAACCACCCAGAAACTGATACAGGAATCTACTCTGATACGGCAAACTGCAGATGAAGTCAGGGAAAAAACCCTTGCTGCTGAACTTAAGGTGGTACAACTGGAGAGGAGAGTCCCATCCATACAAAGACAACTTGATAAACATAAGCTGACATTCGTTATGATTGAACTTAAAGAAGAGCGGATGAATTTGGGGACCAGAGCCCTGTCTGAGTTGGAGAAGGAAAGCCTGACAGAGTTTCAGGAGGCGACAGGACTAACATTGGTTGAGAAAGAGAGGTATTTGGGGGTTAGTATGACCGCCAAAAATGTGAATCTGCTTAAGGACAACTGTGAAGGATGTTGGATTGAAGAGAAGGGGGATTTGGAAATATGGACAAATCAGAAGTTGTTACTGTTGGGCTGAGTCGTTGTGGTGGGGATGGGGGCTGCTGTGTTGCTGGGGATGTTGCTTTTGTTTCAAACATTGCAAGCTCTGGATGTGATGGAGGGTCTCAGGAGGTGACAGAGGGATGCTCCTAGAGCTGTTTGGCAGGGCAGGAAGCCTCAAGTTAAGCTTAAGATATTGATGGATGGTAAAGAAGGAGGTGGACCTGCCCTGCCAGACCTTTAAACTTCGTTGTGAACCATCTGCCTTTTGCTGGTTGAGAGAATGGTTGCTTCTTGAAAACACTGAAGTGTTGGACAATGGCAGACGAAGTTGATGGACTATAGGGAATTGGCGGAAATGACTGGCAAGATCCGAGACCAGGGTGAAGAGTCGGTGGAGGAAGATTGGAAAAAGTTTAAAGACTATTTATAGAAATATTGTAAAATTAAGGAATGTTAGAAAAATGTTGGAATTAAATTACATGGCTTTAGTAGAAATGTCATAAGGAATTAAGTATAAATAGATTAATAGAAAATTAAAGGAAAAGTATGGCAAGAATGTGTTAAGATAATTATAGAACAGAAAACAGAGTAAGATGGAAAGGAATTGCTGAAACAAATAATAGAAGTGGAATACAAAAAGGGAGGTGTGAGGAAGTCGCTGGAAATAAGTGAATGAAATATAAGATATTGAAAATGTTTGAGGTGTTTTTAAATTGTTTTTGCTTGTTTTTGCTTGATTTGTTAGTCCATGTAGCGTTTTTGTATTGTATTCGTATTGTTTTTTCTGTTGTTTCTTTTTCTCTGTGTTTGTAGTGCTGTGTTGGAAATTTTGAAAAAGTAATAAATATCATTTTTTAAAAAAAGAGAGATTGTGGCAGGCTAATTGCCTCTATGAGCAACTCCTGCGGAAGGAGATAGCTGTGTGGCGCCTGTGGTGTTTGCTTTCTTTTGCTATGGCTTGCATAATAGCATCCTTGCATCCACATTTTTGTTATTCTTGAGTGTTTAGATATTTCACATACTCTGGCTATTCTTAAGATTTTTTCTAACATGATGTTATGTGCCATGAATAGCTTTTCCTATATGTCTTTTGAATTTGATCCCATTATCATTCTGTCCATTAGTATGTCATCTCCACTGATGAAGCCAATGACCGACAGAGTCAACTAATTCAAGATTTGCCCCCATCCTCCTTCCTGCAGGGGCGGAGGAAGGGGGTGCGGGAGGGGTGATTCGCACCGGGTGTCACCACTGTTGGGGGTGACAAAATGCCAGGAGGCACTCACCATGGGGCCCGCAGTGCACCCAAGCCACACGTCTTTGCTGGGAGAGACACAGTGGCTTGAGCATGCACAGGCTCCACACTCCCCAAACAGTCCACCCACTGCCTCCCCCTCAGTTGTAGGGCGGCTGAGTGGGAGGAGGCAGGCACTCCAGAAGCCCTGTGGCGAGCACGCCACCCCAGGCACCTGAGCAGCTTCCTCTGCCACTGCCCTTCCTGCTGACTTCTACAAGGGCAACACTGTAAGGATGCCAGCTAGAAGTAGAAAAACAAACAGGAGGGCACTGGCTGAGGGCCGACTGAGTTTGATGGGGCAGTGCTCCATTCAACCTAATGGACCGGCAACTCCTGTTTGACTTTCTCTTAGGCTGGACCCTCTGAGGTTTATGCCTTTCTTTTGTCTGCTGCTGTAGTAGTAGGATGCAGGTTGTGGCTATCAAAACTAGGCATCCAAGTGTTTCTTGTTCTTTATTTCCCCTGATGTCAGGCTTGCTGCACCTTGCACTTGAAGACTTTTATTTTTTCCCCTGCAGCAACTAGCCTCCTTGTTTAGTGCCACTTAGTGGCTGTAGCGCTTATGCAGCCAACATCACAAAATTGATTTCCTACTTTATGGTTTAATTCTTTTACCATTTGCTAACAAGAGGTATGATTCACTGGCAAAAATAATGCTGTGTTGGCCTGTAAATCCTGCAGTACTGAATAGGGAACATTATCCTCTTTGTCTGTGGTACATTCAGATGTTAACAGGTGGAAAGGAAACTTATTATTATCTAACCTGTTCAAAAGTGAAATGTCTTGATCTGTTTTCATTTTTACTTCCTGTGTAGTTTACTGTTACATTTGGCTTTAAACTGCTTTCATTCTGAAGAGCAGAATCCAGGTTCCTATTAACCGTTGGCTTAGCTATACTTTCTGTACTGATCTTTAATCTACATCAAATCTATTAAAGTTGTTATCTTTCTGCAGCAGTGTACAATCCAAGTACAAAACAAAACAAAGCAAGAGGGTAAAGGTTAAGCTACAGCCTTGAAAACAGCACGCAGGCAAATAAAGTGGAGCACATACTTCCTATTTATATTGTGTGTGTGTGTGTGTGCGCGCACAACTTTATGATTGACACAGTCCCCTCAGGCTATGCTGTTTGAATTAACTGTTGATTTTACAAATCAACCGCTTTTGAGAGGAAGAATGAACACCTGATTTGGACATTGTTCAAGTCAACCTGGACACATATTTCTCTGTCAGCTTTTTGTGTACACTCTGCTTTCCTTCTAATTACAGTGGTGCCTCGCAAGACGAAATTAATCCGTTCCGCGAGTGTCTTCGTCTAGCGGTTTTTTCGTCTTGCGAAGCAACCCTATTAGAGGCTTAGCAGATTAGCACTATTAGCGGTTTAGCGGCTATTAAAGGCTTATCGGTTTAGCGGATTAGCTGCTAAAAGGCTATTAAAGGCTTAGCGGCTTAGATAAAGGGGGGGGGGAGCGAAAAAAAATCTCAAGACTCGCAAGACATTTTCGTCTTGCAAAGCAAGCCCATAGGGAAATTCGTCCTGCGAAGCAACTCAAAAACGGAAAACCCTTTCGTCTAGCGGGTTTTCCGTCTTGCGAGGCATTCGTCTTGCGGGGCACCACTGTATAAATGTCAGTAATGGCCTTTAGTAGGCAGAATGCTTTCAAGCAAAAATGCACCAAAGAAACATGTCTGCCACTTAAAAACAATGTACTATGTCACCAAAATATGACCCCTTTCTATATTAGTGACTTTTAAATCAGTGGCTGCGATCTATTATCTTTTAACCACCTGTTATTTAAAGAATAGCTTCACTGTATCTTACTTGATACACAGAAGGTTAATGGAGAACGGTTCACCAATGCCACCACCCATATTCAAACACAAAACAATAAATTATTATAATGATGGGACTCTCCCCCCGACCCAGCCTGGAAATGTTCTATAGAAATCTTTAAAATATGTCATTTAAATGATTTTTTTTCACCCTTTGCCATTTACTTTAAAGCCATTTCAAATCCACTTTCTTTTGGTGTGGTTTTGACACTTTGATAAGAACAGAATGAAAACCTAAAAACACATCTGAACATATATAAGAGGCAGATCTAATACAATCCCTCCCCCCTAAAAAATAGGCAAGGAAGAGCCCACGCCTATTCCTAGAACCCTCAAGATAAGGGCCAGAAGTCTGGGCAAAAGGAAACTAGAGGGAAGCAGCAAAGTGGAAAATGAATGGAAATAAAGAAGTAGGTTTGCTCACCCTTATATGATATCAAAAGGTGACTATGTAGAATGATAATACTATGAGAAAGTTAGCAAGAATATCTGGTGTTGGACTGATGATTAATGTTATTGTACATCTTTAAAATTCCACTACATATCACCTTACATTGTCGACTGAGCCCGCTCCTATTTGTGTAGCTCTGATCTTTTATTGACAAAGTCCTAGGTTCTATCTCCTTTTCATGACAAAGCGATAACATATTGGGAACTGGTTATTGTACACAGAGACAGTTGTGCTGTGTCTTACAGAATGGGATTCAGGTATTCTAGAAGTTGCAAAGTCAAACAATAATATAATCATATATATATCTACACATTGATTTTCAACTGGGAACTAAGTGAACCCACCTTTTAAATTCAACATTTATTACCCATGTCACATAAATTGCCATTTGAACACATCATTTTTAGAACTAACAGTCCGTCTCTGGTATTTATTTGATTATCATGCTCTCCAGGAGCAAAGACGCACAAGGACAGTGAATTACTTTTCTATTGCAGCTTCCTGCAGTGGCTGCTGCATAATTTTTGGTTTTTTGTGTTATTTCTGCACTGTTTGAGAGGCTAGATAATGCAAGGATTTTGGATACACAGCTAGCTACTTATATGTTCTAATAGGTCATAAGAGGCTGGTCTACCTAGCAAAGTCCAGAGGCAGTAAGCCATTGCCAGATACCAATGACAAGCGCAGGGGAAGGTTGCTTCATTCCTGCCCTACATGCTCACCTCCCTGAAGCATTTCTCTGGCACATGTTTGAAATGGATGGCTCAATTGCATAGACCCTTGGCCTGGTCTGATCCAGTAGGTTTCTTACTCTAGAAAAGTGCCTGGCGTTCAGTTAAATGCACTGCATTTTCTGAAAAGCTGAAACACAGTAATATTTCCATTCTAGTTTATCTAGCATGGAAAGTATATTCTGCTTTGAAGTAAAATAGAATAAGATCTAGAGTTCTGTCTTGCTTATCGAATTTACACTTAAAACAAATTTGGGTGGTACAGTCAAACCTCAGCTCCTGAACGCCTCCGTTATCGTGTGTTTCGGCTCCCAAACGCCAAAAACCCAGAAGTAAATGCTCCGGTTTTTGAACATTTTTCGGAACCTGAACATCCAATGTGGCTTCCGCTTGAGTGCAAGAAGCTCTTGCAACCAATTGGAAGCCGCGCCTCGGTTGCCAAATGGTTTGGAAGTCGAACGGTCTTCCGGAACAGATTATGTTCAACAATCGAGGTTTGACCGTATTCAACTAAGTTTTATGCAGAACTGACCTATTGAAATAAATAGAGCTAACCTAGTCATGGTCATTAATTTCAGTAGGTCTATTCTGAGCAAAGGTTAGCTGACTATTATTATTATTATTATTTCATTGTCCCCCTTTTATTATTATCACATTACCATCTTGGGCTCAGCAGTTTTCATACATTTTAGTGGGTGGGGCAAAATTTCCACAATACTGGATTAAATTTTTGAATGTGGGCAAAATTCAATAATTTTGGAGCAGGGGGCTCCTACTTTTACAGTCCAGCGTGGCCAAGGATTTTCCTTTCCTTTCCAGCTCTTTCCCTAAAATTAAATATAAATAAATAAAATGAATCCTCCTGCAACTTGGCTGCCCTCATCAGTCTAGTAAAAGAAAAAAGAAAGCCCCTTAGTTACCCCATCTTAAAAGGAGGGATCATGACCCCAAATTCTTAGAATTCACCCACATTCCAAAAGTTGATGACTATCCCCTGCATAATTTCAGAAGGCATGAATGGTTCGTGTAAAGGAACGGCAGTATTCCATTAAGCTTTACTTTTAACAGCTCCTACTGATCTATGGCATTTATTAAACAAACTGCTCTCATGTGCAATTGTGTTTTAAAAAACAAAACAAAAACCCAGCTGAACACCACATTTTCTGAGGAAAATGACACTACTCTGCCATCTTTGTTTTTAGTTGTGGACATAATTATGATTTAAAGTAGAAGGAGAGAAGGTCAGTTACACATGTTTTTGCATAACGTAAGGTGTTTTTGGCATGAGCTTCCATATGCAAATGTCCTTGACTCCAAAATATTAAATAGACTACATAACAAGGCCTCTGCTAACAGGTACCCTTGAGCAGTGTCAAGGTCCTGGAATGAGAAAGGGTTGCCATGACTACTGAGGCTAAAGAAGTAAGGTCTTGACAACAAAAGAGAGAAAAGCCAGAGCACTTTTTCAAACAAACAAACATCAATCCAAGTGTACAGTGACTCTGTGAGGCTTTCATCCTAATCGGAAGTAGAATTTTTCAAATCATGGCA